TACACAAAATTACTAAAAGTGAGGACTTGATTTAAATTTAATATATTTAATTGGACCTCTGTGAACCACTCCTCAATTCTCTTGGTTGACTGTTACTTGGCAACGTATGTTTTGGCAACACAGGAAAAAAACAACAAAAATTAAGCCGCACCTGACTAAAAGCCTTCAAAGTGCAGAAAAAAAAGCTGCGACATCCAGTTTGGAATTTACGGTAAAATCTGTAAAATCCTCTACTTCTGGATGAGCTAAGCAAGAGCATCTGGAGATGGGTTCTTAAAGCAGCAGTTCAGGATGCTGCCCTAATGATCATGAACAGGAGCTAACGTGCTAACAGTTTTCTTTTCTCACACCATATACTTTGGTCCCAACTTGCGACTGAAAACCTTTCTTATCTACCAGGAGATTATTATTATTATTATTTTTTTCCTCACAGACCGCTGTGGAGAGCTCACTGTGACTTCCCCCTGATCAACAGATGACAGAGAGGAGGGAAAGAGCAGAGACGGCTGAAAACAAAGCACTGGTCATTTATCTGGTGATGAAAGCACAGTGTCAGCAGCGGCCGCAGTTTGGTTTACTGCCCTTTTTTTTCGTGACGACCACCACCGCCGCCACCGTCAGCACCAGCAGTTCCCTTAGAGCCCATTACATCACTGCTCCAGAATATATCACTCAATAGAAAGGGCCGAGTGTCTTTTGGCATTCACAGTTTGGGTGTGAGAAACCGCCGCACTGGCATTTCCAAGATTATTGTGAGAAATGTTGGTCATAAGTGCGGGATTAGTGAAAGGAGGGGCTGCCACAAAATAAAACTTATTTTGTAAAGGCAATTTTCCCATAGACTCTGCATTTCTTCTTTTGTATCTTCTTTATTGTTCATTTTGCAAAACATTAGAAATCAAATTCTTACCATACTTACTACTCACCACTACTCACTAACACTTACCACTACTACTTACTACTACTCACTACTACTCACTACTACTCACTCATACTTACTACTACCTACCACTACTCACTACCACTTACTACTACTCACTGCTACTTACTTCTACTCACTATCACTTACTACTACTGACAACTACTTACTGTACTATACTCACTACTAGCGACTACTACTCTCTAATACTCACTACTACTTACAACTTCTAACTACTACTCTCTAATACTCACTACTACTTACTACTACTTACTGCCACTTACTACTACTGACTACTACTTACTACTCACTACTTCTTACGTGTATGGAGGTTCTTTATAAATCCAGACTTTTAAACAAAGCTCTTAGGATTGTTAATGACTCTTCTGGCCACCCTGGGAAAGCCATGTTCCAGCTTCTTCCCTCTGGCAGAAGATATCGCTCTCTGAGATGCAGGACATCTCGTTACGCTAACAGTTTTTATCCACAAGCTGTTATCAGTGTAAACAGAGCACTTTAATGATTTGCACTTGTTTTGAAACTGTTTTAGTCGATCGATTTCACAGTGACATTTGTTTACTGTTTTATTTGTTTTATTTTTGTCTTTTAATGTTGTTTTATGTCTGTATTTGTCTGTGCACACTGGTGACTTTTGCTAATGTATTCCAATGTGTTTTTTTTTACTGCACATGGCAAATAAACTGAATCTGAATATCTGTATACTCACTAATACTCTTACTACTTCTTACTTCTACTTTCTACTTCTTACTTACTCACTAATACTCACTACTACTTACTATACTCACTACTACTTACTACTGCTCACTACTATTCGCCCCATTTCCTTGAACGTCCACTTTTTTTTTTTGCCTCTGAAGCTTTACAACTCTGATATCTGCGCTCTTTTCACCACAAATACAGATGTCCGTGAACGCCACATTCCAGAGAGCCCTGTCACAACAGCTCAGTGTGATTTGTGTGATCGGAGACACGTTTGATAAAGTCTTTAAGAACTGTCGAAACACAGATGGAAACAGCCATATGGAAGAGAACTTAACTTGTTTTGGAGACGGTTTCTCCTTCACCACTCGTCCATGACTCCTATAGAGACATCTTGGAAGTGACAGGTCAGACCGGGCCCAGGAAATTGCCTATAGATCTAGTTATTGAGTGAACTTGGGGGATGTTTCTCAACAAAGAGTATATGAGTTTAATTGTTAAAAGTTAGTTAAAAAAAATCCACAATGCACAAAGTCCATATAAGTGCATTCTATAACTTTTCTAGAGAAGTTTCAAAGATAGTAATGATATTTTATTGTCTTTTATGTCTTGCGTTTCTGTGTTTTTATGTATCCCCACTGGTGCTCTGTCTGAAAATGAAGCTCGGCACAGATTAAAAAAAAGTTATTTGAACTGATTTGAATATGTTGTTTTACTTGAATTTTATTTTATGGTTTAATCCTATTTGATTTCTGATGATTTTACTGTCTTACTATCAATACATTTTTGAATTTAGTCTTTTATTGTCCAGATCTTTGGAAATTGTCTATGAATTCTATGTAAACTAAGTAGTAGTAGCAGCAGCAGCAGCAGCGGTAGTAGTAGTAGTAGTAGTAGTAGTAGTAGTAGTAGTAGTAGTAGTGGTAGTAATAGTAGCAGCAGTTGTAAATGGCTCATAGAATATAAACACCTCAGGGAACTAGCTCAGAGTGATGTAATACATAGCGTGTGGTTCCAAAAAAAGAATATTTAATGGCTGACTAATGCAAGAGTTTTTCCCTAGTAACCAAACAGCCAATCAGGACTGAGGTTGGTCACTTCCTGTTTGTGCCTGACAGCAGCAATTATGGAGGAAGGGCCAAAAACTGTCAAAATATGTCAATCTAAAGGAGCCCAATCGAGCCTGTGTCCACTTCCTTATTTAGCAAGTATAGAAGGCTTAGGTTTTTTACTTTTACTATTTTACTACTTTCTTACTTCACTACTTAAAGCTGGTGGACCTACTTTTATCATATATATTGTCAACAGAACGTGTCAAGTAAAAGTATCTCACTTTGCATATAGAGCTCTGTGAGACACTTTGGGGAGAGTGTCATTGTTTTTTTTCTTTTTTACTTTACTGTCTGAAAAAGCTGATTTAAAGCTGTAACAAAGGCCAAGAACACACGCATGCAATAAAAGAAAAGAGAACAATGGGTATTCTCAAAGTGACGATTCTATGTTTTCTGGTTAAATGCAGCTGTTGAAGAACTTTGACTTGTTTCACAAAAATATAAACAAGATTTAAACATTTACTGAGGTTGTGGTTCTTAATATTTTGAAATTTACCTTTATACGTTTTGTAGATAAACATCAATTTACAATAAATAAAAATACTACAACAATAGTAGTGATTGAAGTATTCTAAGAAACTTTTCCCAAAGTAACGGGATACTATACAAAATACATGTTATGTCATGTATTCAGTATTTATTTTCAAAGTATTCTCCCCTACACTGACAATGCTATGTATATAAATGTAGTGTAAAGTTATACACATATATAAATATACAAATATATACATATCAAATATATCAAATATACAATACTGTAAGTGCACTTGTTTAATGCACCCGTCATCATTCGTAACACAAACTACATTTCTATATTTTAATTAACTTTCTGAAGTCTCAAATGTCTGGAAAATCTTACTTTTGTTTTTGTAACAGCCCTAAAACGACATCGATCCTAGAGGGAGCCGCAGTGTGTCACCGGAAAAGGTGGCAATGGCAAAAGCGGCTTCAGTTTCAGCATTGCCTTCCATTTTAATTAAATCGGCATTAATTCTAAATACCCATGGCTCAGTTTCTATACTGCTCTGCTCTGCACTGGTCCAACCCTTTTCACCGATGACAACATTCAAAACTGTTCAAGACGTTTGACCGAAAAACTGTGTCCGTCGGCTATAACGCAGAGCAGATGGCCGCACAGTAGATATATCCTCTCCCAATGATGTCACACACACAGGTCTTTGGCTGCGCAGCTGTAATTGTCGGCACCAGTGTAAAATTTGGGCTTGCGGTCAAACTCCGGCTCAGTATATTCCGTCTCGTGTTTCCGACTGGAGCTATATGAATGTATGTGTGGGCTTGTCCGGGCCGACGTGTGTCGAATGCTTCACGCTCCACGCTCCGACCATGAAATGAATCCATGGGTTGGTGTAGGACTGGTGCCAGGGAAGTTTGCAGGGAAGTTCGAGACGGAATATTGGATACATTTGATAAGTAGTAGTCACGTGATAACAAGGTAAGCTGATCCTTGGGTATCTAGCTTTTAACCCAAATTGTCCCGCCACCGAGATTGAAATGACCTTAATTATTATTATTTTTTCCCACGCTGAATTTTGGTGATTGTTTACAAACTCCTAATTTACGGTATTTTTCAACTTTAAATCTAAACCCTCAGGTCCAAATGCACAAGGTTATTAAGAGACACATGGACATTAAAGCTGGGCTGTAACTTTTAAATAAGAAAAATTTATGTAAAAAAAATCTATCCCTTGCTTTTAGGATATTTTTGGTTTCTGTCACAGCTTTAGATTACCCTTAAGATTCAGAAACCTTATTACACTAAAGAGGGGAATTAATTTGCAGCAGAGTCTCTGAGTAGAATACACAGACTCCACACAAAAACACAAACGCCTCACATGCTGTCCCATCCAGATAAACAAATAAATACAGTATAATCACATACAGTTCAAGTATCCCAGCTTTAAACCACTTTCCTTTTCGTAGCATTGTGGGTTAGGGTTAGGGTACCATAATGCCTTGCCCATTCCTCAATCTTCAATCACAAGTATAAAGTTCTTTGCCCAAGGACAGACTAAAAAGTTTGAGCAATCACACAATCTATTTTTGCAGCTTTCTCATCACTCAACATAGCAGTAGCACTGACTCAAAAAGGCTTTGCAACTTTGCCGAAACTTACTTTTAGGTCTCAAAACGTCAAAGATCTCACATGAACTACTGAATAAACAAAGCCAAGTGTGTAAATCGTAGTGGAAAGTTATCAAAACGCGGTTACAAGTTATTGTTGGCGTTACCTTGTGGTTCTTGCCGTGTCTGTAGACCATCCAGTCCTCTCCGTTGGTGCTGACCTCCAGTTTGAAGGTGGTGACGTAGTAGGACTTCTGCGTCTCTTTGGAAATGGCGCCTTGTGTAGCGATTCCCGTCAGCACTTTGAGCACGTGAAGATCCACCTGAGGAGAAAACAGCAAAGATCAAATGTTATGAAAATGTTACACCACTTCGACAACTTGGCGTGGAAAAACTAGCTCTTTAATGTCTCCGGAGAGCACAACGGCCAAAACAGGACTTACAGACAGCAGCTCATCAAATGCACTAGGGCCGCACCCACTCCCTGTTAACTGATGTATACAATACTGTCACATTAACTTTGTCTAAGTATTTAAACAATGACAATTATTTCTGCAACATTAAAGGCCCCATTTAACGCTTTTGGACTGTGAGACACTATTCAAACCCAGAAACAACACTCTTTCTCAGTTATTGTCAATACTACTGTCAGGATGTGGGCTTTCTGTTCATTTATCTGGTGTTATTTATTGTTGTATTGTTTTGTTATTGTTGTGAGTTTTACTTCCTGTCTGTCCTGTTGAGTGTGACTGTCCTGATGTCTTACACCTGTGCCCTACACCTGTTTAGACCCTGTGCTCCTGTCCTCTTCATTGGTTCATTGTGATGTTTTTCGCCATGTTTTGTCCCTGGTTTTTTACTTTTAGATTTATTTTCTTATGCCATTCATTAAATTAAAATATTATTTAAGTTCTTATTTTGGGTCCTTCCTTGTTTACCCATGACAACTCCAGACTTGGCAATGTGGAGTGTCTTGACTAAAAATGTACTATAGAAGACAATTATGCATGTTTGGTTTAGACAAATAATGAAAAAGATTGTAGTAGTATGATGTGATTTGATTTGACATTATGCCAAAACTGAACGATCAAAATACAAGGAAAATGATGAAAAGCAGGACTACAAAGCGCTAATTGAGGCTAGCAGCATTCTGAACCATTCTTCTGCTTCCTGGGTGAAACAAAAGACACACACACACACACACACACACACACACACACACACACACACACACACACACACACACACACACACACACATACACATACACACACATGCCCCCCTCACAGACGTTCTATGATCACAGATAATGTGCAGCATTAGCAGTCACGGGGAGAACGAGCGGCTTGTTGGATCAATCGCGGCCTGATCAATTATCGGTGAATGTAAATGACCCTTTTCAAAGCCGTCGCGCCACATGCAAACGAGTTCAGGATCTATGAGCGACTTAAACTCATATGATATGGAGCCGTTTTGGTCGTGAAAGATCGGCCAATAATGTTTTAACAGTAGGTTTTGTATGTGTTATATGCAATTTATATAAACATTCAAAATATCCAAAGTAACCACTGCAAAATGTGATGAAAAATGCCAAAATAGCTTAAATTTGGCAAAATGCTCATAGACTGTGGCTTGAAACAAAACAAAATTGGCCAACGGAAAAAAGATACAAGAAATGTCTCGATTGGAATGAAGAAAAAAGTTTATTTTCTTTTAAAAAATAAAATTAAACGGATGTGTAACCTTCCTGTAATAACTAGTTCTTGGCTCTAAACTGGTCTAAACTGGTTCCATCACTAGTTTTCACATGCTTGTATTCTCATAATTATGGATTACAGGTTTTTTAGACAAGGGCGAACATTGGGCCGGCACTAGATCATATATGGAATCGGGACGAAACCGGAAGTAAAAATCCTACTTTCAAATTAGTTTTACACTAATAAGTCCTTAAGTGGTGACTGGTTAAGTTTTAGGTGTCTGAGTGAGATGGTTAAGGTTAGGGTTAAGGGTGGGTTGAAGTTATTTTATGGTAATGGCTGGTTAAGTTTAGGCATGAATAGGTAGTTTGTTATATTTACTTCCGCTTCCGTCCAGATTCATGATCTAGTGCTGACCGCGAACATTGGCCTTTCAGCCCAAAGGTCATGGACCAAAAGACCGACTTCCACTTAGTGTCCATGGGCAAGACACTTAACCCCATTTGCCTGAAGCCCCCGCTGAAATATCAAGGCTCCACTGCCACCCTCCCGAGCCAGAAATGAATTAAGAAGAAGAGGATGAATGGATGTATGGAGATTTTTTTAGACACATCAAGCACTCCAGTCATTCATTCATTCAATATGTTTTCTAAGAAGAGGAAGACGGCATGTTGTGGTCTTTCTCCTGGACATGATTTACTAAACAAACAATTGAGATACCCTAGCTTTACACTGTATATTTCAGTATATATGTTTTTTAAATAATATTATATTGAATTATTCTTCGGCCATCAGTAGAAAATAAGAAAACATTTGACAGTTACAGATTGTTGATTAATTACAGATTGTCAATGATTTACAGACCGAAAGGGTTAGGCTAAACTTTAACGCTTATAATACCTAACCCTAATAACGGGTATTTTTTGTATTGTAAAATAAATAGTTTGTAATTGGAAACAAAGACTACCAATACTACATACGCATCAAAAAACAAACACATGCCTGTCTCCTATACGCCATGATAAACGTTCTGCTTGGAAACTTTTCATTTGCCGCGGCTCTAACTATGATGGTGGCTCTGATTGCTTTAGGTGCAGAGCAATAAGAAGTGCAGCCACTGTCACCGCGACGACAAACACAAACCGAGCAGAAGATGAGAAACTTTCCCGCGCTGCTTAGAACATTTATTCTAGACCAATGGAGGCGCGGAGACCTGTAGATTAATCAATGTCTGCTTGTGCGCACAACTGTAGTGTGTGTATGTGTGCATTTCTGTGTGTATGTGTCTGTGGTGTGCGTTTCTGTGTGTGTCTGTGTATGTGTCTGCTTGTGCGTGCGTCTGTGGTGTGTGTATGTGTCTGTATGTGTGCATTTCTGTGTGTGTATGTGTCTGTATGTGTGCATTTCTGTGTGTGTTTGTGTCTGTGTGTGTATGTGTCTGCTTGTGCGTGCGACTGGTGTGTGTCTCTGTGTGTGTATGTGTCTACTTGTGCGCATTTATGTGTGTATATGTCGGTATGTGTCTTTGGTGTGCGTTTTTGTGTGTGTTTGTGTCTGTGTGTGTATGTGTCTGCTCGTGCGCGCGTCTGTGGTGTGCATGTGTCTGCTTGTGCGTGCGACTGGTGTGTGTCTCTGTGTGTGTATGTGTCTGTTTGTGTATGTGTCTGCTTGTGCGTGCGACTGGTGTGTGTCTCTGTGTGTGTATGTGTCTGCTTGTGCGTGCGACTGGTGTGTGTCTCTGTGTGTGTATGTGTATGTGTCTGCTTGTGCGTGCGACTGGTGTGTGTCTCTGTGTGTGTATGTGTCTACTTGTGCGCATTTATGTGTGTATATGTCGGTATGTGTCTTTGGTGTGCGTTTTTGTGTGTGTTTGTGTCTGTGTGTGTATGTGTCTGCTCGTGCGCGCGTCTGTGGTGTGCATGTGTCTGCTTGTGCGTGCGACTGGTGTGTGTCTCTGTGTGTGTATGTGTCTGTTTGTGTATGTGTCTGCTTGTGCGTGGGACTGGTGTGTGTCTCTGTGTGTGTATGTGTCTGCTTGTGCGTGCGACTGGTGTGTGTCTCTGTGTGTGTATGTGTCTGTTTGTGTATGTGTCTGCTTGTGCGTGCGACTGGTGTGTGTATGTGTCTGTATGTGTGCATTTATGTGTGTATGTGTCTGGTGTGCGCGCGTCTGTGGTGTGTATGTGTCTGCTTGTGCGCGCGTCTGTGGTGTGTATGTGTCTGCTTGTGCGTGCGACTGCGTGTGATTCTGTGCGTGTATGTGTCCGTCTGTGTATGTGTCTATATATGTATGTGTCTGTGTGTGTCTCAGATTCAGATTCAGATTCAGATTCAGATTCATTTATTTGCCATTTGCAGTAAAACCACATTGGAAAAACTGTGCAAGACTACCCCGGTGTGCACCAGACACACACCAGAGCTCTTGCCAATGTCTGCTTGTGCGCACGGCTGTGGTGTGTGTTTCTGTGTGTATGTGTCTGTTTGTGCGCCTGTGTGTGTATATGTCTGTATGCGTCTGTTTGTGCGCGCGTCTGTGTATGCCTTCTTGTGTGGTGTGCGTCTCTGTGTGCGTATGCGTCTGTGGTGTGTTTTGCATGTGTGTACGGTATGTGTCTCTTGTGTGTGTTTCTGTGAGTATTCGTGCCTGCTTGTGTCTGATCTTGCACGCTTCTGTGATGTGTGTGGCGTTTCTGTGTTGTGTGCGTCTCTGCGTGCGTTGTTGTGTGTAGTCTTTGCCACTCCGGCGCAGTAGCCCGCACCAGGGGAGGTAAAGCGAGGCATTTGTTATCTGTCAGTGGGACAGGTGTTTTAGATTACTTCCTACGCACACACGCTCGCTTAGGGCCGGCCACAGATCCAGCGAGACAACAAATCGATAGTCCGCGGCCGAGCACCAGATGAGGGGAGAGTGGGGGGAGGTGGGGCAGAGAGGGGGTGAGTTAAGTGAGCCTTCCTGTAGACCCGGAGAGATCCATCACCGAGCTGTTAGAATAACCACTCACACAAGACAGTAGCAATCCGTAGCTTCGCACCAGAACCAGGGGAAAGCAGAAAAGAGAGACTGACCCTTATTAAAAGTGTATTGGTTTTTAAAGCTGCACTGGGAGAGCTCTCTGATGGGGTCCGCTGTACACCGCAGAGATGGTAGAGATTTGATTAATTCATTCATTTTGAAATTCTCCTACCGGGGGTTCAATAAAGTATCTTTCTATCCATCTATTCGAGCAGAAATTTGACATTCATAAGTATTTACAATATTTACATTCCTTTACAGTTTACATGACCTTTTGTATGTTGCCCTCTGTACTTACAGCAGGGGTCTCCAAACTCTTTCCAGAGACTAGCATATTTGGAGGGTGAGTAGCTCTCCAGTTTTATAAAACAGAAATGGCCGAGAGCTACTCTTTTAAGCAGTCGGAATACCCCAGCTCTCACTTTCATTCAATACAAAAAACAACATTAATTTTAAGCATATCTTAAAACAGACATAATAATTAACTTTGAGAAGTTCTGTCTTATCTATATACATATTACTATTTTGACAGATACCTGTCAAATATTCATAGGTTTCAGCTTCCTGTTACATGCAGCATTTTTCCTACTTTAATTAACAGACCCTTTATTTGTCCAACAGTGGGGAATTATCAGTGTTGCATCACCGGTTACAGAACAATAGGAATGAGAAGAAGAACCCTCATAATAAAGAAGCAAGTCTAAAATCTCTAGCTTTAGCGTAATGAGGTAAGTCTAACATCTCCAACTTCAGGATAAAGAAGTAGCAAGAATGAAGTATAACATTTCTGACTTTAGCATCATAACAAGTAAGAATCAAACTAATCTTGACATCTTCCCATGGTTTTGTTTTTTTAAAAAGCTGTTTGCTCTGTCACTCCCAGACCCACAGTGAGTCAAACTTGTAGCAGACACCCTATTACATCTTTAACCACTGTAAAAAGAATCTTCACAAAATGTTTCGGAGCACTCAGGGCATTGATCCCAGTTACACAAAGAGGGTGTCAGCAGATTTGGAGTGTGATCCGTCAGCTGAGGGGGGTGAGGAGGGGTGAGGTGAGGGAGGAAGGATGAGCGCAGACTGATGGGACCTTGGCCGCGTCCTGCCCGCTTGGCCTCAGTCCTTTTCCTGTGTGGGCCGGCCCTGAGTTTGGCCCCTGTGGATCTCCCCCTCCGGAGCCCTCGCAACCTCTACTACTGCTGCAATACATCAGCCGCCTGTCTCTGCTGCCACTGTCCAACACTTTCCAACACGCTCCGACACACGCTCATACTTAAGAGAATAGCGATACTTACTCAGATGTGCTCTCTTTAAGCATTTCAGAACCTGAGATACTCTATATATATATTTGTTTTTTAACAAGCACATTTACTGTCCCTTGCACACCCTGAGTGATCCGGTTTATGCCAATTGTAACTTTGTATAACTCTCCATTGTGAGCTCAATAAAGTTATGTCTTACCTAAACATGACGCCATTGTCCTAACACAGGCCCCGTTTAGACGGAGGCGCTGCGCAGACGTTGCCAAGCTATTAACAGAAATGACCAGGCTCCTTATATAAATTTCACAACGTTCATACGAGGATGAAAAACTATGGTTCTAGCGCCTGGCCAGTAGTGGGCAGAAGAACTTTATAACACGACACACGCGAGCCCCAGCCTCCCAAGCAGTATATATACTTCCCCTGCAAGACGTGAAAGAATGCTTCAAAATAATTCTGCATTTAACAGCAGCTGCAAAAATAAAAACGGAAACTAAAGATTTGCGTGGTTTCGTTTGGACGAACAAAGTAGTAGAATCCTCCTCCGTGTAGCGTTCGAAGCCCACGAAGCTAGTTTGTGTAACCGCCGCCATTGTTGTTTACGTTTGTTCTCGGCTTCTGCGCATGTCCAAATGTACATGCGGGGAGCAGTGCGAAGGTGGGGGTCATTGCAGGCAGAGATTTCACACCTTTTTCTTCACGCGGGTGTGAAAAAGCTCCCCGCTGAGCAGCGTATCTGAGCTGTCCCACTCTGCAGGCTGGATCTGAACACTTACGTTTTCACCCCCTGAAACACAGTCTCCATGAGAACGGGGGGTAGCAACCGACATCCAACTATACCCTTTTACTGCCGCAACATCTCCGTCTAAACAAGGCCTGAGACTATACTACTAGGTAAAGGGGGTGTGGTGTTAAAGCTGGGGTACTTAAGGCCCCGTTTAGTTAGACAGAGAGGCCGCAAAGCAATTCGCAAAAACGATTAAGATTTAGAGATCTTTTAATTCGTTCCACACAGTAAAACTGATAAAAAATAACCATAGTAATACTTAATATTATAGTTGCTCTATCTATTCCTCCGGTCTTGGTTTTGTGTTTGCAACGGTCATCCTTCTTTACAGTAAAAACCCAATAACGTCATGCCATTTTCTTACCCTTGTCTCAGCAACTTGATAAATATTCTAAATAAAAGCTTCGTCTTTGGGGGGTGGCTGACAGATACAGAAACGTTGAGGTGAAATCCATTCCGGCTACTGCTCTGCGTTTCGTCAAAGCAGACATCACAAACGTTTGAACAAGAAACATATCGTGAGCTCTTTGAGGAGTGGCCATCGAAAAAACCGACATGGATTTGCTAAACCTTTGCAGCTGCAGCCAAAGTAACCAATAAAATATGTATAAAATATTACAGTCCAGAGAGCTCCCATATCCATAGGCAGTAATTCTTCAACTTGCTTTTGATTTATTATTGGGTTGCATTTTGTGGAAAAAGAATTGTGCGGTGTTTCCCATGTGGACGTCTGTTTCATTTCAGAGCCGTGCAGCAATTAGGTTTGTAGTCAAAGAATGGATAGTAAAAGTCTTTGGGAATTGATGGAACACAAAGTAAGCTAACATATAAAAAAGATATTGAGTTGTTATTTGGGGATTTTGATACCTCTTTCCATTAGTTTTAAACCTCATGCCAAAGCTATATTTCCAAGCAACAATTAGGATCTGCTTCAATCTATGCAAAACTAAAACTCCATACTTCTATGCTACTGTTTCATTTCAATATACAATATGAAATAATTGTATATTTCTTTGACTTTATGAATTAATTTTGGGCTGTATTTTTAAATGTTCTCTTGTGAAACACTTTGAATTGCCTTGCACACAAAATATACATACACACAATATGCAAATTAATGACTGATTGGTTCTAGCTCAGACATGGGCAAACTTTTCCTCCTGAGGGCCACATTGGAAATTGGGTCCGGATCCCGACAGCCGTCAGATATTCCAATGTTTATCTCAGGCTTGATTTTAAAACATAAATGTATTGTTTATGAAAAAAATTGCTTTGCACATGGTACAGAGGGGGATTGTATGGTGTTTAAACTGAAATTACCCCACAGTGGGATGAATAAATGTTCTTAATCCTAATCTCTCTTGATCTTAATCTTAATCTATATAAATTGAGGAGGGTTCAGGGGCCTGATAGAAGCATCCAAAGGGCCGCATCTGGCCCACGGGCCGGGGTTTGCCCACCTCTGTTCTAGCTCTTATAGAAAATGGACTAAAAATGCTTTAAAGACGCCATTTTCCAAAACTCAAACCCTCTAAAATGTTTCCCTCTGTGGATCCACTGTGTGACAGGTGTAAGCAGCAACCGCCCTCACTCGCTCATATGTTTTGGAATTGCCCAAGCATTACACAATATTGGAAAAATCTATTTGATTGCTTGTCTAAAATTCTTTAAAAAAATACTCAAACCGGACCCATTGTTTGCTATATTTGGATTGAAGCCGACTGCTGTTGACTTACCAAAGCCACAAATTGTGATGGTTCGCTTTATAACTTTACTTGCACGAAAACTGGTAAAAGTAGCAAATATTTTGACAGCAAGGAACTACTTACCTGAATTGTATTATACTGGTGCATTTTTTATGGTTGAAAGCTTTAAAATTCTTGTTTCCACCGCAAACACAGTCTTAACTTTGTGCCTGAAGGGGATAAAAAGTTGCAGAAGACGAGTGCCCTTGGAAAAGCTCCATAGACGGTCTCTTGTTTACGCTGGTCCGAACATGGCCAGTGCCTCTCGGGCTTGTCTAAACCTTTTTTCCAAATGCACACTGTAACTCAGGGCTGCCATCGCAAAAACACAAAGTTGGCGAGGAAAAAAGCATGGCGGAAACAAAAGTCCAACACAGTTCATTTGGTCTTCTGAAAGATTATACAAGTATTTATCATAACTCACAGCTTCAAGTCTTCCTCAGAGTGGTCTATAACTGGGTGGTCTCCCTGGGGGGACTGTAAACCGGGACAAGGGGGCTTTTTTACTACCACGCACCTGGGATTGGTATCTAAATAATGGTAAGTACATGTGTAAAATCCTTCAGACCGACTTCAGTATTTGATGATGTTCCAAAGTGGTTCAAACATTTGCAAAATCCTTAAACAAGATATGACTCATTTCTAATGCAATAGTGAAAAATCATTGTGTTTTTTTGGCTCATAAATGAATTCATCAATGTCTGTACTAAGGAAAAGTATAGTCAACTAACAAGGCACGGCAACTTCCCCAGGATGTGGTCACCTGATAGTGTGTTTGGGATTAGGAACACTAGCAGTTGTTATTTGGAGCAAATCCAGACCTTTGTATGAAATGAAATGTGTAGGTTTGTAAGTTTTGGTATCGAAAGACCAGGATACTTATGGACCAGTACCAATCTGTTTTCTTTCATATTTTTTGTATTTGATTATTTTCTGTATGTATGTTTTGAAACATTCAATATGTAGTGTGGTTTTTTCTATTCTGTTGTTCTTTTGTTGTATTTTTGTGCTTGTCTGCCATGGCTTGAAATAAAGTATTCATTCATTCTCTGATCTGAGTTGGCAAAACCAATGGTCTTTTGAGATTTAGAGCATTTTTCTCCTGTTTCTGGATGTTAAACTGGTCCACAATTGGAGAACCTAGAACTGTCCCATGTACATAGACATACAGTACCTCCTGACTCTAGATTTCTACATCAAACCAGCTGTAATGTGCCTCACCTGAATGTACTCCCGGTTGCTGTCCTCGTTGGGCGTCCATGCGTTGTCGTTACAGTTGAGTCGTGCTTGTCTCGGGAGCCAGTGCTCGTCATAAAAACTGGACGAAGCCGTGATCTGGTCGTCTGTAATCTTTCCCGACTCCAAACCGAAAGGGTTACTGCAGTGGAACGCTACAATGACAGGAAATGACAAAATTAATGCCAATATCAGTCAAAATAATGATAACGGTATGTTTTATATGGATTTTAAAGAGTATAGTGCAGGGGTCTCCATCCTGTAGCTCGCCAAAGGATTTAGAGTAATTTATTAGGTTTAACAGCATTATAGAATGTTTCCAATGTGTTCCCCATTTGTCTTTTCTATTTTCTTTGTATTCATATATTGGGGCAAATTTGTGGGTAGCAACAGCCTAGTAACCAAAGAGCCAATCAGGATTCCCACTCACGGTATTTTGCAGCTTAAGCCGGTGACATGGCTGGAAGAGTTTGCTTTTCACTGTAAATGATTAGAGAGCCACTAAAAGAAAAACTTAGGCTTCATTGAGTGAGCAGGTTAGTGTTGGTCATTTACATGCAGTCAATGATAGGACTAGTTTATTTAGTTTTGGGAAAGGCATGGTAATCAGGTCCTGGCCGATGTGGGTTCTTACTTTCGCTGACTTCCTTATGCGTCATGTTGTAGCGTGCGGAGAAGCCATCTTTTGCCACGGCCATGTCGGTGTGGAAGGACAAGGACAGGATACCGGTGGACGACTGGATCTCGGGAGGCACTCTGGTCCCGCAGTATCGACCAATAAGAGGGCCCACTGCGAGGAAAAAAAACATTATTATTACATCAAAATAATAGAATAATGACAGTTTTATCAAAGCTACATAACTTTATTGTTCAATAGTAGAAACCAAATACAAAATTATCTTTGGCACACTAGTAAGAAAGAAATCCCTGAGAGTCACTATTCTAGGCTTTTAGCTGATTGGCAATTTTTTCTCTTATCTTTCTAAAAAAAAATCCAAAAATACATAACTAACTTAACTAAAACTAGTGATAGAACCAAACAGCTACATGAATTTTTACCATAGTGACATATGTTGCAGTTTCAAAACTAAAACTAAATCCCCAGCTTAAATTATATTATATGAATTAAAAAAAACATGGGCATCCTACTTACCCTTTAAACTATACAAATATTCCATTGTAAAACATTGCCTAGATAAAGGCCCTTTTCAAAATGTAATTCTATTTTCATTCATTTTTTACGTACTGTCTCTCTTTTGGTTTTTACGTTCTGTTCTATTTCATCTCGGGACTAACAACTAGGAAGCTCACCCGGGAATTTCCCACTAGAATCCCAGTTTCTTATTATCCCACTGGTCCACAAAGCAATATCTCTATGATGGGCAATGCATCTGAATGATAAGTCCTCTGTCTCTGCTTCTAATACCGCAACTCCCGCACGTCAAGGCAGAAAGAACAGCTCAATCCAGACCTCGATTTACGAGCATGGGCGTACGAAGGGGGTGGACACGCGGCACATTTATCCACACAACATGACTACAAAGCCCATGGAGGAGTAGGAGGCTGCAGAAAATAACCCCAAACTATCGATTTTTCACCTCCCCCTTTCCCAACTGGAGGTTTGAAATTGCTGTGGACAAAAAAAAAGTCATAATTCTTGGGGAAAAAAACCTGGTCTGGACATTGATTGAATTCAAAATATGCTTGAGAAACAGCAAGCGTTTTATTTCTTCTTCTCTTTTTTTTGGAGAATCGGCAGCTGACAGACGGCTCGCTCGACTCTTCAGTGACCTTCGCAACACGCTTCAAACCAGATTGTATCATAATGCGTTGGTATAAAAAGTGATGGCTTTTCCAGCAGGGAAAGTAGGCTCTGGTGAGTTTTTTGGTCAATGGATGTTTTTATTTCATTACAAAAGTCAGAGGGGCATAATTGCAATTGTTTTCCTAATAACCAATGGGAATACAGGAAAAGTACCTATCTTTGTGACTTTACTTATATGTAACTATGGTTCCTTGCTCTCGAAACAGTTTGGTTCTATGAATAATTTGTATATGCGATTGAGGCCTATGTCACATCTTTTAGATTAGATTTTTTAGTAACAACCGTCATTCAGCTCTCAGGAAATAAAATCAGAATCAAAATTAGAAGGAAGTCACAGACAAGGAAATTGCTTTGGCTCTCAGCGTAAACAAGTTAAAAGTGGAGAAGTAGAGAATAGAGTAAGACAAAGTAAGAGTCAACATACACTTCTAAAAAAAAGATGAAAAGTTTCACAACATTTGGTTTGGGACTGCATTGTTACATACAGTAGTGTAAGGGTTTGCTAGGGTTCGGGTTAGCTACTGCATCTTGCAATGACTTAGTTTAGCTGTGATTTCACTATTGGTTCATTAAGGGCAGGATATGTGGATACAGGTTTTTATTCCAACCAAGCAGGAACAGACCAGACTTCACCCATTTTCCTGAAGTGAGTCCAGTCTTGACCCGAAGGCTTGAGGAAATGGGTGCAGTCTGCTGTGCTGCTTCTTAGTTGGACTGAAAACCTGCAGCCACATAACACAGGCTGTTCTGCTGTAATGTGCACAACTGTGACATTGATCTGACATAATCTTATCCTAAATTTGTACAGTTTGACAGTTATGCTAGTTACTGAGACATATCTTTAAACTGGAATGTTCTGATGTCACATGAATGCCATCTATTAGTAAGACTATAATATTCTTGACTGTAGTGTAAAATGCATTACAGTCAATACGTAATCCTGTAATACAAATTAAACATGCTCTTCCAATGTGGTTTTACTGCAAATGGCAAATAAAATGAATCTGGATATAAAAAAAGAATTGGTTCCAATAGTAGAGACAGAGATGTAGATCGTGCAGTCCCACAAAACTCTGTACATTTCACCTCTGAACTTTTGTTACCGTACAAACATGGTCCGGTATGAGATCCATTATAAAGTATTAACGCCATATGTGATGGGAATGCACTGGTGAACGATTTGCTATCATTAAATTCCAATTGATTTTGACAGATGCTGACGGAAGCGAGCAGAGAGAGATGGGGACATTCTCCAGTGGTGACACCGGGGCCAATAATAGTCCGTTTGGTCACAGTAGATTGTTCGGCTTCATGTGACCGGCTAATTACTTTGACATACAGTGTGTGAATACTTGGCACAAACAAGTGTAATTCAAACTGCTCATAATGTGGCAGCTGCTGGTAACGCAATAATGAAATAAATGTTATATTGCACAGACCTAATTGGGTTGTACAAGGATCGGGAATAACCATTACCACCACTGACAGCTGCGGATTATTACTAAGGAAACTGTGTTATTAAAAGAAAATCCATCTAGTTATTTGCAAAGATCTTTAGAGAGTGTGCTGGATTTTTGCTATTATTTTAGACCTAAACCTGATTTTGCACAACTCAAAGAATACCCATACCTAACATTCAACAACATGTATGGACCTTTCTACATGTATGGACTTTTTCAACATGTATGGACTTTTTCAACATGTACAGTATGGACTTTTCAACATGTATGGACTTTTTCAACATGTACAGTATGGACTTTTCAACATGTATGGACTTTTTCAACATGTACAGTATGGACTTTTCAACATGTATGGACTTTTTCAACATGTACAGTATGGACTTTTCAACATGTATGGACTTTTTTTTTTACATTTATGGACATATTCAACATGTATGGACTTTTATAACATATAAGGACTTTTTTAACATTTATGGACATATTCAGCATTTTTGGACATTGGTTCCTTATGGACCATTCTTTTACAGTTTTGTTAAGTCCTCCGGGATAACTACTGTTGTGATTTAGTGCCTTACAAAAATACATTGAATTGAATTGAACATACATTCTTCTGTCTGTTACATGACACCCATGGTTCATTATTATTGTCTAAAAATAACTGACCCCATGGGTTTCATTCCAGTGGAGTTTGCATGTTCTATCTGTGTCTTTGTAGGTTTCCTCCAGGTGCTCCGGTTTCCCCTACCACTAAAAACATCTACAATAGGTCTGGCAGCGCCTCCTGTAGGCGACCTCGCTCCCATCTCTGAAGTGAGACGTTGTAACAGCAGTTTTGTGACTCTGATCTGTGAAAAGCGCTGTATAAATAAAGAGTACTTACTATTTACTGACTTAAATGTATAAAGGAGGATTTTCCCACATTTTAGAAAAGAACCGCCCTCTCCGCTTTTTGAACAAATCTCACTGATTATTGGACGAGCATGTATCACCAGAATTATTGGCAATTGGGAGGACCAATAGTCTTGATGATCCACCCGGAAGTAGAAAATCCTCCTATATACTGTACCTTTAAGATAAAAAGAACTCAGTCTTATTTCAAAAACTGTTGCCTTATTTTCTCTTTCCAAGCGAGACATTTCTTGTATCTTTTTAAAACAAGATCATTCTGATTGTCCCATTGGCAAATCTTGACTTATTTTTCATGACTTTTTACAGTGTAGTACTTATCAAAGTGGGATCTAGAACCGTATTGATATTGTTTTTTTTAAAGGTCTATTGCATCTGGGGCTGTACATTGTCCCTGTGATACTTTTACGTTCTGTTCAATCCAATAAATAGAATACGAGTCACAATGAACCAAAGACCTTGCTGCACCGTTGCATCACTCACTCAAGAGTTTCCATGATTTAATTTCCCATTTTTGTCCATTTCCTGAAAGCTTGTTGCTCACGTATAAAAGCTGATTCCCTTAAAAGCACACACATTTAATTCGTACCTCGTTCCGTCTCTTTTCACATTTCAAAGTGATTGAAAGTTCTTCCTTCCTGCACATGAACTGAACTTTCATTTCCGTTTGAACTTCGGTGGATTGTGTCTTTGTCATTCTAATCTGCCTCCTCATCTCGTCTCTCTCCTTTGATTTGAGAATAAGCTTCTTTCTGTATATATCTTTAAAGACTTTGTTAAAAATAGCATAATGTCCTGGTAATTATTCACTTTTGAACTTCTCCACTTTTTGGGTATTATTACCACCAATAAATACTAAAAAAGCTTGTTTACCTCAAATATTAGACACATTTTTATTTCTTAAAAAAATACATCTTTTGCAAACTTGTAAGAAATCCCTGGAGAGTCACTTTTTGACTCTTCGGGCTGACAGCTGATTGGCTGAGTGAGGGTGGTCTTCTTTTTTATCCTTCTGAAAAAGCAGTTGTAAATATATGACAGAGGACAAAAAACTAGTGAAAACTGTTAAAGATTTTAGTAAGATTTTTCCAAATTTCAGGAAAGAACCGCCCACTCCACTTTTTAAACAAAACTCTCTGATCTTATTGGACGAGCACGTATCACCAGAATGATTGACAATTAGGAGGATCATCCCCCTGTATATCTTTAAGAAAGTGAAAGACTAGTTACAAATAGTTATAATTTTATGGTTTGAAAGTTACGTACCTCGGCTTTAAATGCAAGTTGTTTTTAAAAGGTTTGGTATTTGCTTGTAAGCCAAATTAGTTTGTATATTTTTATTTTCATCAGATTACTTTTCTCGTACTTTGTCTTTCCATTAGAACAAGACAATAGACAACAGACCTCATAAAAAAGTAAATAAAACTATACATTTTAAATCTCTGCTTTTGACCTCTCTCTGCACAGTTTTACCATCTCCCAAATGTTTTAAACTAAATCCAAGTATTTGTACTTTGATGTTTCCTCCACAGCAGCAGTAGGGGCACACAGCAGATGCCCTCACCTCTTACTCTTATTTTATCTGTGTTTTATTTTTTACCCCTCAAAAGTTTTGGTTTTGTCCATAGCCTGAGCCAACACGCCGCCTGTGAGCCGCTTTGATCGACACCGACGCACCGCGGCCGAAGCGGTCGATAACAATGTGGGCAGAATGTAAGTTTAACTCTGGACTTTGGATATAGTTAGAGGAAGCTGAAGTCAGATAGATTTGTTCTGGATAAATGTTTAATAATGTTATTTTAATGCTGCTTTTAACCTTTTGGACCTCAGTAAAAATGCTCAGTAGCTCAGGAGTGCATGGGACAGACATGGGAACTGTAAGATTAGAGGAACTCGCCCATATTTGGGCATTGTCTGGTCTCCCCGGTTCTGCGCACGGACGAGCTCCCATGATGCTTTACGACAAATACGCTTTTGTGGGTCTCATGCACAGATGGCAGCGTTCTGACCAATCAGAGCTGCTGATCAGAGCGCCGTTAGAGCAGGAGACGATAAAGCAGAGTTTTTTGCACTAAAGTGTGGATTTAAAAACCGTAGGCTTTAACGAGGAAAAAAGTTTAGTAAGTAAGTAAGTAATCTTTATTTATATACCGCCTTTCACAGACCAGAGTCACAAAGCGGTTTACAATGGTTATTTTTGGCATTTGTCTCTCACTCCACACAGAGATGGGAGCGGGGTCGCCGAACAGGAGGCGCATGCCAGACCTATTGTACATATTTTTTAGTGGTAGGGGAAACCGGAGTACCCGGAGGAAACCTACGCAGACACAGGGAGAACATGCAAACTCCTCTCAGAAAGGCCCTTGTCCGGCCGGGATTCGAACCAAGGACCTTCTTGCTGAGAGGCGAGAGTGCTATCCACTCAGCCACCGTGCCGCCCGTTTAGAACAACAATGGACATTAAAGTTAACATAATTCTCCTTTATGAAAGCTGTAGGTTCTCTGTCAGGTTCTCTGTCATCTCAGGTCCAGCTGTTTAAGTTTACACTGAGTTCTATGGAACATCGTTATGGGTAACATGAATTTAGTCTGCAGTACCACAGGCGCCCCCTGTGTCCATGGGTGGGACAGCTATGAGCTAGTAATACTGTATCTATTTATTATTATAGATCCATGGTATAAAGCCAGAGTGAAACGTGAGGTGATGAGTCCAGCGGCCGCTCACCTCCGGGAAGGCCGTCCCACACTTCCAGCCAGTCGTACTTGCAGTCGCCCTCGCTGCCGGGGAGCGGGTCGTTCTCCAGGTCGAAGATGAGGAAGCGCAGGGTGACGTCCATGCTGGGCGGCACGATGATGATGAAGGAGCACTCCAGGTTGTGGGGATACTTGTCAGGGAAACCCGGAGACTCGATCAGACCAGTGGGGGCCGTGAAGTTACGGGAGCAGTCTGATCCTGGGCACACACAACGTCATGGTCTTTAGGTTCTTACACAACAAATATCAATATCAAAAAGCAAGTAAAATATCTGGAATTGCTTTCTTGGTAATGATAATAATGCATTGGCTTTATATGCAGAGATTTTCTGGACACTCAAAGAGGCTTCACATGTAATTTTTCTTTCACTTCATACACGGTGGTGATAAACTACTATACTGTAGCCACTGCTGCCCTGGGGCCCAACCATTCTGTGCCATCAGCTCCTTCGACTACCACCAATCATTCACACACACACCGTCTCCCACCACAGTACTAACCAGGTTCTGTCCTGCTTAGCTTCTGACAGGATCTGACAGGATCTGGGTTTCGCTAGTTCATCTTATTGGCTGGAAAATTTGACTTGGACTTGATCTGTAATTGACTCTCGTCTGACTTCATTTGAATTTGGATCCAAAGACCAACAATTTAGAAAACAGAGACTGGATCCGACATGACTTTGTAGCTTTACAGTTGGAGTCCGACTGAGAATCACTAGGGTTTCTCTGTAATCTCGCGCACCGACATACAAGTTGTAGTCTGTATTAATAGCAGTGGTATTTGAAGTCTAGCCGTGGATGTGTGAGCAAACAGACACATACAGACATGAAGTAAGCCTCTTATAATGACTGTAATCCAGTTGTGTATTTGTGTGTCTGCTGCAGGGGTCTGGAGGGGAGAAAGTGAAAGTATAAATACACAAGCCAGATACAGTATGTGGGATTTACTGTGGATAGTTGAAATCATCGTCTGCTCATCTGTATGTAAAGTATGCACGGGTTAATCATTGAGCAAATTATATCGTTGAGAAAATTATAGAGAGTGATAGGAGAGGGGTGTATGGTCAGGGAGTGTTTGGGGCTGTGTCGTGTGTGTGCTCGGTTGTGTTGATTGAGGTTTGGGTAATGACCGATAAGACGAGATGGCAGATTCAGGCCGTCAAATTTAGTTTCCACCATGGCGGGACGCTCCCTCAAAGATAGTATGAGGAGCTCAGTCACACGGGGAGCTCGGAGTAGAGCCGCTACTTCTCTAGGTCAAGTTTGTTTTGGGTGAAGACCGGGGACTATGTCTCTCAGCTGGCCTTGGAACGCATCGAGATTGCACCTGATGAGCTGGAGAAAGTGTGTGAGGATAGGAATGTCTGGCTGTCTCTACTTAGACTGCTGTCACCATGAGCCGGCAATGGATAAATCGGAAGAACATGGATGGATAGATGGATGGATGAAGGTCAATAAAGTGTTTACTTTGCCCAAGCCCAAACAGTTTATTTCTTTTTGATTTGTATCTTGTTTACTGTTATAATTAATTACTCCTACTATAAAATACTCTTTTATACATACACAGTAGAAATATATAATAATCATTTATTTTGCTTATTTTTGCTCATTTTTTCCGCGTTCCATCTCTTGTTTACAGTCCTCATTCTACATGCGTGGCAACCCCATGGATACCAGACAGCTCCGCCCCCCTCGCCGCCTGGCCCCTCCTCTCTGCTCTACTTTCTCTTGTTGTTTTGATGCTTGTGCTTCATTCATTCACTGCTCCTCTGCTCTTGTGTCTGGCCCCCTGCTGAGCGCCCTCCCCCCTCTACACACACACACACGCACACACACAGACCAGTGCAGTGCGTGACCAGGACCATGTGGCTCCGTGTCTCCTGCGTGTGTCCCCAAAGTCTGCGTGTCTCTGTGAGCGTGGTCACGGCTGAGTGCGTCTGCGGCCCGCGGCGCTTTGATCCTTCTCTCATTAGTGCGTGTCCATGAGCAAAGCACTTGTGCCTGGCCTCCTTTTTTATGTCATGGTCGCCGCCTCTGGTCACACATTCATTTATAATCAATATACAAGCTTGCGTTTGTCGTTTCTGCTTTATTAAAACCATTTGCATGAGTTACTAGTTCACTGGTTTGTGTCTATCTATTTTCATTTCATTTATTTTATTCAAGACAAGCCCACACAAGCACACATTAAGTGTAAGATTAAAAAAATGTACGAGAAAATCATGTTTATCTGTTGAAAACTGCACAAAAATGTAACATGAAGGGGTCCCTGACTTTTTCATCACTACTATGTTTTTCCCAATAGAAAGAGTATTGGAAAACGACCATTTTGGATGAAAAAATGTAATGTCAGAGTAAAACTTCTTTCAAAAATTTAAAATAAAATCACTATGTCTCCTTGTGTTTAAAGAGTACGAGCTTTTTTACACTTTTGTCTTAAAAACAGAACTTTCTAATCCACAACCTTTTTCCTCTTACAAATAAACACGTAGTATCTCTGCATACGGGCTTCCCTGAGAGCTGATTGGCTGAGTGTGGGTTTATTCCAAACATTATGCAAAATACAACAATAAAAAACAATAAACCAGACACAAAATGAACAGAAACAAACCGTTCGAAAAAGACGCTTCTTTGGCACTAACCTGTCACTCATGCAACAAACGCAACACAATCACACACACACACTCCACACAGGCCCAAACACTAAAGATGTGACAGAGGCCAAACACACACATTTGAGAGATACAGTAGAAATAGAAATAGAGACAGTGACATGCATTTTTCTGTATAGTTTCTTATGGCTTAGGTTAATTTTCTATGTTTGTGTATGTCATTTTTTAACCCCTGTGTCTCCTTTAGTTGTACTTCCTGTTTCCTGCCCACCTGCCCCGCCCTCATGCGTCTCACCTGCGTCTCGTTACTTTTGTGTTTTCTCTGGATTTTGTTTGGTTTTACTTTTATTAAAACATTTTTGGGCTTATTTTACCCACACGACATACAGTAGTTCAATTATTTTGTAGTTTAAAAGTTAGGAACCCCAGCTTTAAGTATTTATACAAATAAAATAATGCACTTCCGGGTCCAGGGGAAAGCAAATTGCAAACACAAAGATACAATTCTGTCTTTTGTAAACTCATTTTTGACCTGTCCTTTGACTTAGCATATCGTTAACACGGCAAAACAAAGCTCTATTAGCATAATTAGCATACAATTAGCATGACCTCAGCCTATAAGCCACTTGATGCTTTTAATCACATGTTATGCTGATTTTTTAAAACTGAAATACATTCGCAAATAGAGAATGCATTAAAAAAAATCTATTACAAGTAAAAATCTAATGTCTAACCCCCCCGTCCCCTTCTGCAGACTTTCCCCCGCTGGTCCCTTTCCTCTCTCCCCCTGAGCTGCTTTGAATCCTCCTCCTCTTCATCACTCTCTTCCCTCCCACTGTCTCATTTCCTATTCTTTTCTGTGCACTTCCCATCTGTTGAAACTCCAAAAAGTCCAAAGAAACGCAGAAACACGTGTTCTCTGTACTACTATGTGCACTGATGACATCACAGAGTAGTCCAGTTGTGTTTTATTGAATTGAGTGCAGGAAAATGACTGTAATTATTTAAATTTCCACTTCTGTTGTTATTTTTTACAGGATTTGTGAGTCGATTTAATGGCGCATACAGACTGAATGAGTAAGTGTAGCAGACATTTGGAATTTAATAGAAAAGTTTGAAAAGCCAGATCTATTTTAGTGCCACACAAAGTTGTATGCGTGTCTTACATAGTGCATTAAAAACACGCAAGGCGTTTGCGTATACATCAAATTCTATTGACTATATACGATGCAGCAACACTAACTCTGCCCTTCTTCTGAATTCAAAACGACACAGCATTTTATAACCTGAAAACAACTATTAATTTGCAGCGTGCGCACGGCATTTGGCGAGAAAACACGTTAAAGTTAATTCTGCAGTACTTTTCATGCCATTGGGCCATTAAGGAAATCCAAGCCTATCATTAGAGAAGGCCTCCTCAGATTCTGTGTTTAATGGAGAGAATGAGAGGTGGTCGGCCCCACAGTGTCAGACCACACACACACACACACACACACACACACACACGCACCTACACACACACTCGACTTGTCAGCACTGAGAAACCGCAAGTGGCTTTTCCATATGGGCTCGAACCACACTACGAAATGAAATATGTTCTCGCTGACGTAGGGAACAGGTTGGAGGTTTTCGAGAAGAGAATGTTGTCCTATAAAATATTGACTTTTGTGTGTTTAAGTGAGTGTGGGATAATGTCAAGTTCAAATGAATCCATGCCTCTATATTTGACTTGACATGATCTAAGCAGAAAGAAGCGAAAAATAAAGATAAAATTACACCGTCGTTTAAATTAAAAAAGCTCCTTTAAAGGGAACCCTGTAATATCATTGTTAGTCTAATAAAGTTATTACAATTGCAAATATAATAAATGAATAAATACAAAAATAAACAGCAAAGGGGATAAGGTCAAGTCCAAGCTATTTGTTTGCATTGACAAAAAAAATGCCTCCAAGTCTCCAAGTCCAAGTGTCATTGAGAGTGACGTTAAAGATGAAATACAGAACTTTCAAAACCACTATAAATGAAACGACCGGTTTGTGATGAAAATAAATCCAACTATAGTTCCTCGCTCTGAAAAGTTTGGTTCTAGTTTTCTTATGGAATGTAATATGCTTCTGTTTTGTCTTGCTGTTGTAGAAACTCCTTTAAAAAGGTAAGAAATGGGTTACCATAAGAATAAATAAGTATATACATGTTTTGGGGTCAATTCAATCTTTAGATAATCTCTTTTTAGACTGAAAAGTAAAAAAGAAAGAACCAGCTTCACAGCCAATCAGCTCTCAGCACAAATACTGACTCACAGGACTCTTTTCAACAAATATGCAAGATCAAATGTTGTCCAATATCTTGACTTTAACAACTCATTCTGTTGAGACAAAATAAATAAATAACAAAGAATATACATCCCTGAACCTGAATGAATCAAAGAGAATTTCAAACTATGTCTTATAATTGTTTTTTTGTGCTTATGGAGCAATGGTCTCATGAAAAATATACAACTTTTCTTGGAAGGTTCCGGACGATGGTATTTCTTGTGCAAATAATAGTTTACAGACCAATCACACAACTGCTTTTGAGAAAGAAACTA